AGAAATCCACTGAGAAATTGTAGACTCGGATCAGGTCCACTTTGCATACCCGCTGTCTCCATGACTATAAACCACCTGAATACCTTGCGGCTAAGGGGAGGAACTGAGAAACACAAAATGCTTAGAGGTACTCTTATATTCCTCAGGTACGGCGTTCCAAGCTCTTTCGTGCGCAAATAGTATGACGGGCCATAATAGACAGAGCTGCAATACAAACTAAATAACACACTGGCGGCTGGATGCTCAAAACGGGAAGTAGTAGTAGTAGTATTTGTAGTAATTGTAATAGTAGTAGTCGTAGTTAGTAGTAGTAGTTAGTAGTGGCTTCGATTAACAGCCATATCTCGAATTTTGTTCTGCCATCCGCTCTCCTCCTCCCTTGGTCCTCATCCAGGCAGACGTGTGGATCTAATGGTGGCAAAACGTCAAGGATTTCATTTGCTGTCGCCAGGTGGATGATGAACCACCACGTGGTCTCTCCCGGTTGAGTCCTTCCCGAACAAACAGAGCGCGATATGGCAGACACTCAACTCACATACGCAGGACATAACCGAGTCATTTTAACTGCCGCCGCAAAACCAGTTTCTTGAAGGGAATACTCGCATTCCCTAAGACACGACGTCTGACTTCGTTGTTGCAAGTGTGTTGTTGCCAGCTCACACGAGCAATCCTCCTCAAACCCCCGTTGTCAAAGGCCGAGAGTCGGCGCATATCGTCTACGCTTCCATATAGCAACACTGTTCGAACAGTGGCATTGTAAACATGACCCTTTACCAAGAGGGAGACATCCCGGCGACGCCACAAGTGCTGCAGGTTGACAAACCCCGATCGACCATTGGTGACGCGAAGAGAAACTTCCCTTCTAATGGTATCACCAGTACCATCAAGGTAGACAAAGTTATCCACTTGTTCAAGTTGTTACAATATTGAACACCGGAACAGTTGAGTGCCAATCCTGAAGCAAGACTACACTTTGACAGGGCAAAGCAATTTCCGTACCTAGATGCCTCAATCGCTAAGTGGTCTAGAATGGTTTGCATGCTCTGTGTGTTCGCACCAACTAAGGCGATATCATCGGCATACTCGAAGTCGGTTCGTCGATTGCCCGGTAATAGCTGTATACCAAAATTTTGGCAACCATCTAGGGCCATCGAGTGTATGTCTTCAATCGCAAAATTGAAGAGGAACAGGGACATAGGACAACGTTGTCGTACACCGCTATTGACAGCGAAGGAGGACGAAAGCCTGCCATATACCCACACTCTGCCAGAGAGGTGGAAATACATTGCGCGTAGGATAGCAGTGTACTTTTCTGGGACATTGCTCCTTAGCAAACAACGCCATAGTGCAGGTCGATCAAATGAGTCGAATGCGGCACGGATGTCTAGATATGCAACGATGGTAGGCTTCTGGTAATGGTGGCGGTGTTCCAGGATTTGACGGTGTGAATATCTGATCAGCGCACCCGCGGCCAGGTCGTAAGCCAGCTTGTTCTTCACGATACTGCGATTCATGAATGGGACGTAGCCTACGGGGTAGAATAGATGCCAATAGCTTGGAGGCAACCGAAATGTGACTAATCCCCCGGTGATTGGTGCATGGATTGCCATCACCGGTAAGATCGGGACAATAACTGACTCGACCCGGGAAGAAAGCACCTTACATTCACGCCGCATTTTGGAGAACATTGAGGTTAACTGGCTGATGATAACTGCGTCTCCATACTTAAACTGCTCCGGAAGAACTCCTTTTGATCCGGTAGACTTAACACGCCTTAGGTGCCGAATCGCAAGACAAACTTCCGCTTTCGCTGGGTGGATCGTGTGAAGACCCACGTAGAGCGGCTTGGTTCGTAGGGAAAAAGTGGACGGTAAGGGCCAATTGAGTTGGCAATGAGAACGTTCGGCTCATCGAACCAAGCGCCTCTGTAAGTTGGCAATCGGCGAACCATCCGCTTCGCATATAGTCTCACTGACACCAAGCTTTCTGTAGCCAGTGGATCGAATGAGCTGGAATAGTTTGCGAGTATTGCCAGACAGGGCAGCGGACTTCATTTCCGAAGCGCGCTGAGCCCAGCAGGCTTCACGATCACTGCGTAGGTTTCGATTGAGCTGTTGACTGACAGAATGGCGCACTTCCTTATGGTTAAATTCCGCTGTGATATTCCTGCAATGGACAAATAAATACAAAGAGCGCGTGGAGATCCAGGAGTTCATAGCGTGCAGGGTAAGACCACAGAGTTCCTGTCCGGAAGAAATCATGATCCGCTGCATGCTCGTCCAGAGTTCATCAATATCTTGCGGTGGGTCGCAGCCGAGTGCACCAGCCAAGGAAGCATGATACCTATGCTGATTCGAGACAGTAGATAGTTTGTGATTAGCTTACAGCGCTTCAATTTCGGGGACTGTCCAAAACTCATGCAGATGTTCGCACAGATAAGAGCATGATCTGAGCCAAGAAATGTGAACCAGATTGCCTTGCAATCTTTTACGATAACCCTCCAACTGAAACTGATTACGATATTATCAATCCGATACCATGATTGAGACGCAGAAGGGGGTCGCCAAGTCCAGCAGTGCTGCCTCGGCTTTGCTACTTAGCGCTACACCAACGCCAGCGAAGCCTTCCGCAACTGCTTCTGCGTCACCAGATAGACGTAGGTGAAATATTACTCCGTGGCCGGTTCGACATCACAACTCAATCACAGTACTGGGATCTTGTAAGCGCGTTTCGGAAAGACAACAAACATCGATGGCAAGGGATTCCAGGGTGCGCGCAAGACCAGCTTGCTGCCCGATCTGCATGAGAGTGAAAGTATGCCAGACGGAACGAAAACCGAGGCCGAAAGAGGGCGACTGGGCGAGCTCTTTGGGTGTCGACGAAACCATCCGGAGTAGAATCATTGAAACAAGAATCATTTGGTAACGGATAATAGTGATTGGTAACAAATGAACAAGTGGCGTGTGAAGGTGTGTGACTAGCAGGAGCAAAAGCAGTTAGGAGCGATATTGCAGTTGAATAGTCTATGATTTCGTCAATGGGCGTGATACTATCCGGTTGGCCTAGCCGAAGTAGGGAGTAGTCTTAGGGGACTCCACTCCCAGCCTGCCTGCAACGCAACGGGGCGATTTTGCGACTGAGTTAATCTGCCCTCTACCCATTGAGCTGTCTGGTATGAGTGGCTCTGAAGACACTTGAAAGCGCCACCCAGCGTAACTCAACGTGTCACAGGGGTACACAAACCATCGCACCACGTTAAGATCTAGAGGAAGCAACACGTATCGACCACTTACCTTTTAACGTGTTACCGTGATGTCTGCGGACAGGATACAGTATAGTTACTAGGCACCAGCGAAGAACCGAATCAGATCGTGTACATTGCCCGTCAGCCCCCGATTCCGTACTACTGGATCCAATGAGAAAGAGTGCCACGACGCAAACTGTCATTGGCTCCGAAGAAAGTCAGCTTCATCTTCAACTTTTCCAACCCAACCGACTCGTGTTATCGCCAGATTGCTAGTGCATGACTGGTGTGGGTGTTCAGTGCGAATGCTGCACTGAGAGCGGCTTGGGTACATCCTGGAGTAGGGATGTTGGATGCAGGCCGTATGACACAAGTTAGCAACAAAGTGAATAGCTGGGACGCGCAGAAGCCCTGGAGCACTGACTGTCCCTGCAACGCATGATTTATGTTGGTTTGTTGCGATAATTGGGAGACTTCCTTCTTTATTTTAGAGGCATGGTTTCTATGCTACTGTGAAAATGGATGGTTGGAAGAGAATTTCTTTACTGAGTCCGATAGATTGGTTAAGTTATCTCCGCGAACATTTGTGATGTAGTGGTTACGCAAGACCAGATGGCTGCTCCGGAGTCAATGATCGAGCAAATATTGTATGAAGGACACGCTGCGCGCCTTAAAATCACATGCTTTTGCGTACTGTTTCTAGTAAACAACAGGGTTTTGTGGGCGGAAGCTACTTCAGTGATGCCCCTGGTTGACTAGCTTCCAGCTTTAACCCTTCAAGTTTACTATGAGTACCGTGGAATTGCGGTTTGAAACCACAAGTCCGCCACGGTCCCTTTGAAAGTACAGCCATCCTGCAGGTGTTATCGATTAGCATGACAAATGTATATGCTTTTATTTACCGTTAAAATTACCGTGTCTGATATCAATGGTCATCAAAGTCCATTGAGGTGTCTTATGATTGCGCTTAAAAGTAGGTTAACATAATCTTGAGACAGTGTGTCGCAGTATATTCAAGTAACGGGTGTTTCAAATAGGCTCACATTGAGTTATTACTTGTTGTGAGAATCATTATCCTTGCATCTCACCAGCGAATGGGTAACAGAGTTAACCGGCGATCTCTATGCCCCGCACCTGCCTCCATTTCAGCTATTTCTACGTCGAGAGAGCAAATGAGCAAGGAACCATTCGTAGAGCGCGTGCTTAGAACTGCACTTATTTGCTCTTGACGCGTTCCAAACGCTTCCAAATGATTAAGTTTCACATCAAAGAGAGATGCTGTTGAAATCAGGGTTACGCTGTTCAACCCACTTAAGCAAGGAATAGACTGGACCGATGCCTATGTGACTATTATTCGTTCGATGGAACTAAAACTTTGATCGATAAAGTTAATATACTGTTATGAGTTGCCCCATAAAATGTGCCAATCTCCCAGAAAAGCAGATGTTGGCGGTGAATTTATGCGTCTGAAATACTACTCTCGCTTTCATAACACTAAACGAAGACACCTATCAGGGGACGAGTGCTCTTCAACGAAGATTGATTAACGCACAAGTTTAATCATGCTTAATCCCAAGCTGTTGAGATTACCTGTCTAACAGCATCAACAAATGGAGAACCCGGCTTCCAAAGTAAAGAATAGCTAAACGATGCATGTGATGACTGTGGAGAATTTCTGGCACTAACAAACTCTGGTCAAAAAAAGAACGAAAGCCTCAGGAAGAAGACCGATCAAAGAATGCAAAAGTAGACCTACTCGTGAAATCGACGTAGCGCTGGAATCCGCCCAAATATGAGACTCAAGCTTTCAGGGTCCAAACTGGGATCTTCTTGTAGAGGTTCGAAATAGCACTGAAAATATGAAAAGCAAAAAAATCACATTGTAGCCACGACTACTGTGCTTAATGCCACCATCTGGTAGTGCGAATTCATCACGACCAAGATGAATGCTATGTGAATACATCATGTTAATGATGCCTGACAGGTTATAGTTTGAAAGTCGCAATGACTATTACCAACCAACGGGATATGTTAAACCTGCGCTTTTTAACCGTTGTAAACCATTGTTTCATTAAGTGAATCGTGAATGGAAGAGATAATGTGGTGGCCATAACGGATTTGCATGAGCACAGTGAACCGAGCAATATGCAGTGATGTATGTGTATCCGTCGAGCTGTTGTGGTTCTGGAGTGAGTTTTGTTACCCAAGTATGGACATGGATCGATAACCCTCCGCGAACGGAAATTGGCGGTTTGAGTCCGTGCATCTTTGTCTGACACAATTAGAGTGGAATGCGGCGTACCGCAGTGTTCGGTACTTGGGCCTCGCATGTTCTTACTCTTAATTAACGAGTCATCGAGAGCGATCACTGCAAAATTTTCACTCTTTGCGGACGACGCTAAGGTTTGAACGACCACGAGGTCCTCAAGTGTGATTTTAATGAGGTTTGTCATTTGTCGGTGAAGAGCGCATTGTCATTCAATGGGGACAAGTGCCGCCTTGTTCACATCCTCTATTGATACACCTGTATCTGCAAACTTGGGACGCACAATCTGCAGACAAGCGCTCAGGGACGTGGACCCAGAGTGCTAGTACAGGACTATCTCAGTTATTCCAGGCAGTCAAACTCCGCTTCAAAAAGGGGTAACTAGCACGTTGGTCTCTTGTGAAGCGTATTCGGGAGTTCAGATTCAACCATCTCTCTGACGCTCAATAATTACGTGCGTACCCACGTCGAACAGACAATCCAAGCCTGGCATCTTTGGCTAAAGCGTGACCTTGCAGCACTCGAAACTCCCTAACACCGAACAACAAAATTTCTCAAAGGATTGCGCAACCTCACTTACCAACAACGACTGAAGTCATTTGGAGAGTTCAGTAGACGCTACCGGCGCCTAAGTGGAGACCACCTATTAGTCTACCAGATACTGAGCGCCCTCAGTCAGGTATGCCTCGACCTTTTGAAACTCAGCCCGAACACCAACCTCAAGGTAATAACCTGAAACTGTGTCAACAACACAATCGTCTAGATTGTCGAAGAACTTACTCCTCCCTTCGAATTTGCTAACTCTGAAACACCACTTCATCTAAGTTGTATGTGTCCCAACTTTGTCCATTTTCAAGAACCGCTTGGATATCACATTGGTTCTTTGCAGTTTGTTGCTTAAAGGGATATTCTGGACAAATATTCAGGCTAACTAGCTTGTTTGGAATACCAACCCACAGCGAAACACGTAAAGCTGCGCAGACGAGTAAGCTATCCGATTGTCCCTTGCAACAAGCATCAAACACGGTAAGTTGTTATTACACCAACCGGTTGTTTTCGAAGCCTTCTGGAAATTTGTTATTCTGTTATGTGTGGCACGATCTCCCTCCCACAACCTTACTTTGATATGTCATTACTCCATCGGTCCAGCGCTGAGCATTTTGTTTTTTCTGCATATGTAGTATTCCGGTTTGCAATTCGTTCCATTACCAACCTACGGGACATGTTAACCCAATGCTTTTTAGCTGTCCTAAACCATTATTTCATTGTTCCAAATGACCACATTCGGATGGGTAGTATTGGATGAAATGGCTTAACAGAGCAGCGGTAGTATATCACTCATCCTTATCTCGCCAGTTAGGGTATGATTTACCGAGGGGTCGATGAATTGATCGGGCGGTGATAAGAGCATCGGTACAAAGTACAGTCGGACTAATTCCAGTCCAATGGGATAATTAAAGAGGGAAATTGTTGAGGAGCGAGATGTGCATTAAAAAGCAACATACTGAATTTGGTTGAAACGATGCCAGGATAATATACGAGGAGTCATGAAATTGCTTGCTAGTTCATATTCTCTATATCCTGAAAGAATGATGCTTTAGTTCCGCATATTAAGGGAAAATTTTGAATACTGACTATCTACAAGGAAATTTTGACAGATGGACACAGGTAATGTGTGTGGGAGCAGAGTGACATCAATGGCTGGAATACATACTGCGGAATCCTATGACCGTGTGTAGCTAAGCTGTAGCCCAAGAAAGCCTGAAGAGTAATGTTAAGTGTGTGAGGAAATATACCGCCATGCTAGCAACTACAGTAAGATAAATTTGTATTGCATCCGGATGATTGACATATTGTTTCGTGTCATCTGAAAATGGCCACACCATACAGTCGGTGGAATGCCGCCGGAACTACTTTTTCCCTTCGAATTTGTCAGCCGTGCAACGCACTTCCGGATCTTGTCATTTCTGCGTCCACGCTACCCATTAAAAAACGACGCCATGATCCATCAAAACACTTGCATTACTTGGTCTAAATTATGTCTATCGAGGGAACACAAGACGCAGACAAAGATCGCCCTCCCCAACCCCAAGGAAAACGAGGTGAACGGGTGTCAGCGCAGTGAATATGGTGCGTCTACAGACTCCCATTTCAGTTTCGTGCAATTTCTCTTTTTGGGAAATTACGCGGTTCACACAAACCATCCCAAGGATCACGTCAAGTCTTGGTTTTGTCATCCGTATTCCAATATTCCATTGGCGCTGAAGTTTATGCCAAGGCTATTCAAGGGATGTGAAAACGCCGGTATTGTTACAACACCATGACCGGTTCGGACACAACTTTCACGAAACGTTGCACAACTTGACAAACTTATCAACCACACCTTTATCCGGAAGGTGCCGTGAAGTCGGCGTTGGTTCACTGCTTTCATCAGCGATAACTCACTAACAGCGACACCACTATGATGATGCCACTCTATCGTGCTCTCTTTCATTTGATCGATAAGCACCAAGCTTTGGTCTGAGATTCCGGAAAATAGAGTGCAAAGTAATTTATGGTAAGGATACACGATCGCCTAATTGAAGAACAGTTGCCAGAGACGCTAAACAGATTAGCTGGGAGTGAATTGAACTGCGAATCTCGGATACTTCTTGAGGCGCGGATCTGCAACCCGAAGGGTTAATGTGAGATAAATGTAATAGATTATTTTAATGTAGTGGATGCAAAGCAAAGGATTAAAGAAGAAAAGTTGTAGAAGGACACAAATTGCACTCACGCTTTCCAGTTCGTATAGGTTCTGCAAATAGCTGGCTTCCGTGTCCACCAACTCCCTGATCACATGGTGCAGTGGTCCAAGACGGTGCGTCCAATTACTTTGATCTCTGCTCTCCGGTGTCTGTCTGTCGAAAAGTATGGTGGATGTGAAATCCAGAGAGTCGAAGGCACAGTCAGTATCACGAGGGCCGGACACTATCATCCGGAGACCACAAAGGGATGGCTGAAAATGGCATGTATGGAAAATTCACTATTTTAGCCAATTTGTGTGCATGTAACTGGGTCGTTCAAATAAATTCGAACATCTTGCCTTGCCAGCTATGAAAACAAGTCCTGAGGAAGAAGTACTATGTACGCCAGGAACATGCGGCTATGTCATGTCAATGCCAGAAATCACTACTCTCGTGCACTATACAATGTAAAGTTATTCAAAATGTAGGACAACATGGTGATCGTGCACATGGAACTGTGAGTTGCGATAAAATTTCAAATGAAGGAAGAGAAAACCAGTGAAGTGTTACGGTGGGACTCGGTTGCGGTACATTAATAAGACAGTCAGAGCCAGTATGACATTTGCTCGGCGCAAGTGTTTAAAGGCGCTAACTACCTAACTGATGATCTTGGTCAAGGCGGATCCTAGTCCACAGATCTGTCTTGGAACCATTATGCATGTTAAAAAGCTTACCAGTAATAATCGTCGTATACCTGTCGTAAGATTGTTGTGTGTATAACTTTCCACTGATACAAGACCAATTTCTGCCCCCAAAAGTAAACGTAACATGACTTCCAAACAAGTTGATATCGACCAGTAAAAACAAATTGAAGTCAACACTAAATTTACGGACCGTTATGACATAGAAGGCTAATGTCTTCTTCATCGCATCGTCACATACTCTTAGGATCAAGTGGTATTCGGTGATAAATCCATCGGAGTAAGATCCCCACAGCTTAGGAATAAGTCTTCCTTTCCAATGACTTGGAAAACGGGTAAAGGGAAACGAGGAAATAAGATGAGACCAACGCACTTAACCTTGTCTTTGTTTGGGAGTAGCGCCGTAGGAACATATTATCATTGTGGTGCACTAGCATTTCAGTGCTTTGTAATCAGAAGATGACCCTTCATATGCAACAAGTTTCTTTTGTTTATTATTTCTATCCAAGCGATTAATGGGTAATGGACAGGCAGCACTGTTAACCAACAAAGTGGAACGATCTTTTCGCCCATCCTGAGTGGAAGCCGATCAGTTGAATCGGGTCCGGTTCAGTAAATAGCCCAGTATCATTTTACGAATAAGTGGACAGGCGTCTTCAATTCGCATCTGTGTTGCAGGTAGTGGTGGATTGGAAAGTACATAATATTCTGATGCTGGGGCTTTCCAAAAGTTCATGGATTTCTTCAGTGTGTCTTCGTTTATATACATTTCGGCGCTCCTGGAAGTTGACAGTTGCGATGCTTAGTTCGTGATGTGAATGCCATGAAATCCGACGGACAATGAGATCAGTGCTCGTGGGCTATGGCGATTTTCTTCTACATGGAAGTCGCTTAGAAAGTCAAAAAAGCAAATGTGAATGCATCGATTCACTGGAGTTGCGACACAGATGTAGAAAAGTTCCAACTGGATACCTCCACAGAAGTGGCTAGTTTTCCAAACATAGACCCAACCGTACACCATTTCTGTCCGGTGTGCATGGCATTCAGACTTCCGTCTCATGTCGGGTGGCAGGCACAGGGGATAACAAAACAAATAAGCATACATGGATGCTGAAGGGGCTCGGACTCACCGGCTGTACGGGTACTGAACACGCATTTGGGTTCATTTACAATACGACACCCATAGTATCGCTGTCACCTACCCCCTCTTAATGAACATATGGGAATGTTAACGGACACAGGAGTTAGGCTTGGTCCCATTCCACGAGACATCGTGCTGTACGGAAGCTTCGATCCGATCCGCTGAGACCGGATAAGGCTGATTTACTTGTCAGGCTCTCTGCTAATCCAAACATCGTAAGGTTATCCTGTTGTAACGCAGGAATTATTTGCTAGATATCTATGAAGCCCACGTAAACCAACAGTAAGTCAATGTTATTCCGGAGAAAGCAGCTGTTAATACTATCAAGGAAACGTCTGAATGCGATTTTTTTGACATTTCAGTAACGTGTCTGTCTTTGTTAGTAGTACGTGTCGTAGCCAGGGAGTTTGAGTGCTAGAACAAGGTGGTTAAATCATCCGAATGTGATTCCACCTCGAAACCGCTGCACTGCGTGAGTTGTGGTGTTACATTCTGCACTAATGAGGTGCTTTCCCTCTCGCAAGCCGGTTGTTCTGTATCCAGTGGTATGAGTGATAAAGTACTCAGTCTTCGACATCTAGTTACCAGTTCACACAACGGCGAAGATGGGTGGCTTCGCGGGGTGCTTTTCGTGTGGAGTGGGGAATCAGTGACACAACAAGTGCACCTATGGGTTTGTTTGAGGTACCTGTGTCCAGAGTGCACTACTGAGAACTCCGCGAGTCGTGAACGCATACATAAGGGTGGGAATCTGACAAGCATACCGGGGTTGACAGTGCACTTGCTGCGATTCGTCCTGAATTTGGAAGATAATGTGGGCATGAGGGTTATACGACAGCGACAGATAGGATATGGTTGTGCTAGACACTAGTGTGCCAGGTACCTACACGTCCGATACCGCCACCTCGACCCGGGACACTGCAAATCTTAGTTAAAGTAGACAGGACGCGCAATCTACGTGGTAGCGCTAGACCCATACAGTGGCTCCATCGCGAATCAAATGCCGACACAGCCAATTTCTTGTGTACTTATGGTATGCACGCCTTCCAAAATGTACCGAATGAAGGAGTTTCAAGTGGCTTAGAAATAAATCTGATGCTGGCTAGCATGATTCGCTATCTCATTTCTTCGGGTTTACGCCATGCATGAGCTGAACAGATTAAAATGAATGGTGCAGTGTCAGTTACTGCTGGTACCTCTTTAAGCACAGGTGTCATCTAGCCACTGACATTCATCTTGACATGCACATCTGGAAACAGATGCCAACAAGCACACTGTTGTGGCTTAACCGGACAAGGTTACTTTATAGACCTAAGCTCTGACAAGGGCAATGTCAAAGCAACTTGAACATCATTTGAAAAATGCTTCAGTGCCGCTTACTCAAGTAAAAGATAACATGACGACTAGTCCAAAAGTCTTCAGTCAGGGGTGCCTAAACTTTTGCAAGGAGGGTCACGTTTTGTGAAGTGAAAATAGGTCACGTCATATTCAGTCTGACATTAAGAAATAACAAAAATTACGCATGTACGAAAAAAGTTAAGGCCTGAATTTATTGGTTCATGATGAGGCCGCGGGCCGGTTGATGTCTTAACGCGGGCCGGAATTTGGACATCCCTGCCTTAAGTTGAGCTCATTTCAATCATCTAATTCAAGATTGATGAGCCCCCAAATGTTGTCACAAACAGGAGGTCACCGATCCACTTGATCGGCTCCCTCATCTTCATGTCACAAATCCTCTTACAGTTTCAGGTGCGAGGCGCACACGCTTTGAACATGCGAGACGTGTACTTGGCTCATAACCGCGAACGCTAACTGATGATGCAACATCATAGAAAAAAGTGATTGATACCGAGGAAGGAAGGATTGATCAGATGGGAGGTCTACTGGGGGTCTATCCTCAATATCCACAACCACATAGAGAATATGCTGCAGCCTATGCAACGGATTTGTTGAATTAGTGTTCGTTTTCTCAAGCCTAAAACAGTGAACGAGATGTCAGTCGGCAAAAGTTCGATCCGGCACCGTGTTGTGTTTATATTCGAGAAAACTGATGAACTGAAGCAAGTGGATGAAATGCAACGCTTAGTGACACTCCCTTCCAATTTTATTTGACCTTGCTGATCGACTGCGTATAATGGGACGAAAAAGCCAATCCCGTGCAGAAGACCATCTGGTCATCTCAGTGGGCAATTTGGCTGTGCGCGCCGCTCATCAGGCGAATACACATGCATGTGAGCAGACATGAGAGCGAGCGCACAGACTATCTGGCTCATATCGAGGGCTATCCCCTTTGTCATAAGTCAACGATATTCACCGGACTTGAGTTGAATGAATCGATACAGGGAACAGCAACTGTGACAAAACGAAGTAAACACCCACAAGGAACGGTCAGTCCCTGTCCCCTTGATAGCCAATCCTAGTGTCAGCAACGGCTTGCTGATAGCTGTTGCCATGCAGTGTTTCCTTAGGATGGGATAGACGCCATGCTGTAGCGTGTCGGAGATCAGAAATGCACTAGCAAGATTGTTGGCCAGCAGTCCAGCGCAACGACCACTGGGTGTAGTAGGAAATCGTGTTGAGCTTATTTGCTGAGGGCAAATTCTGTGGTTAGCTATGTGCCCTACGTCATTGAGCGCGTTCCAAACGTGTACCAGACCAGGGAAAATGCTCTCTAGTGGACGCTCAGAAACCAGCAGTTCTAGCTAGTGCACCAGAGAACATAGGCAAGGCATTCTCACTTTGCAGTTCACACATATGCTACAGGTGCAGCACTGGTGGGTGGTCACTAATTGGAATCCCAGTCTATTGATGTCTCGGATACCGATATGAGCCTAGTTCTTCGTTGTGGTAGTCCTTGAAACCGAGATTACCATAAATCACTACGGTGAAGCGCTGTATAGCATGTCAACCCGTTTACAAGATGTTGCCATGGCTTGCGATAGTTGTCCCGGGTTTTAGCAGTATCGAGATTGATGCGATCTTGTCAGATGATTTAACCAACATACAGGAACGATAGAAATTAGCCGCTGGTGGAAAAGCACGATACTTTAATGTGGTAATCCTGCCACAAGCATCCTATGTACAGAATCGATTTACCAATTTCACAGGGCTGCAGGGTCCTGAGATATGTTGCCGTGACACATTAATTACGTGACTAGATTTGTCCTTCAGGCTGACATGAAAAGTACTTGCTCCCATGCACCGACCAACGTCCACTTTCTTCGATGGAATAAACACCTGCACACCCTCTAAACTGGTTTATTGCTTGGCCTGACGGTTTACTGAGAGGAAGTCATGACCTTCGGAGGCTAGCCACTATCATCTGCTAAGGTAGTAACCTGCGTGGCAGGGGAAGATACGCCGTGGTATATCCCAGTTAATCAAAAACACTAGTCTGAGGAAAACAATTGTTTTCAATGAATCATCTACA